GTGATTATTAAAAACATCTGATTTAGGCATTATTCTTTTACTGCACTGATGTTTTATGTTGCTGTTTGTCACCATTTCAAGGCATCTTGAGTACTCCTTGAACAGAAAGGCAAGATGTAGATTTCCTAAATAAATAAAAATAAAACCCGTAATGGCCCTCAGCCCAGCTAGTGCCTTACTAGTATTCCCAGGTCTCTCCTGGCAACTGGCAGGGGATGGAGGAGGCTTACCAGGAGTGGGAGGGAGGCCCAGGGTACACCGCTGGCAACATGATGTCAACAACTGTGTGGATAGGCGATTAATAAATGGAATAATGCAGTAGCAGTAGTAGTAGTAATAATAATAATAACTGAACCACAAGCTATACCTTCACTTGCTCAGAAACTAGGGGTGTGCATTCGGTATAAACTGAGCTGAAAAAATACCTTATTGGTATTGCTCTGGTATTATTTATGCTGAATACAGATCAGAGAATCTGATCAGCTACCCGTATAATGAGCCCGAATAAAGCTGGTGGGGTTTTTTTTGCTTTAATTTAGGTGTATTCAGCTATACTGAATGGCTGGTAGGCTCCTCTTACAGCTCGGTTTAACCCAAGCTGCAAGAGGAGCCAGCTTCAGCTGAGGCGGCGCAGAGCTCTCAGCTCCTGAAGCTCTGGCTGATCCTCCTTTGCCTCCTCACTGCATGCAGCTCCTGAAGCTCTGGCTGATCCTCCTTTGCCTCCTCACTGCATGCAGTGTAGTTTAAAGTGCACTGCAGGAGAAGCCCTCCCAGCTAGGTCTGCATGCAGTGGGGAGACACTGAGTCTTGATCTGCACATAAGCAGTTGGTACACATACAGATTTAAGCTTCACAAACCAATACTAAAGTACTATACAGGCTAAATTAGTAAAACGCCAGGAGCAGCTAAGTAACACACCCAAACTCCACAGGACCAAACAAGCCCACTGGATGTAAAGTCAACTGATTTTAATTGCCACAGAGGTAGGACTACTGACCAAGCAGAAAAGAGCTGCTTCTTGAACAGGAAGCAAAAGCTGCAGCCCAGTTACTGTTAGCCTAGGTCTGACCACACCCTAAGGTCGTCAGTTCTAGGTTGGGCAATTCCTCGGGAATTTGGGTGGTAGAGCCTGGTGCGGCAGGGGAGAAACCTTAGTGGGTTATAATACCAGAGTCCAATGTTCAAAGCAGCCATTTTCTCCAGGGAAAATGATCTGGGTAGTCTGGAGATCAGTTGTAATCCTAGGAGGTCTCCAGCAATGCTCCCTCTAAGCTGTAGAGTCTTGTGAGCAAAAATTCTACTTTGTGAGCTACTGGCATTAAAGTTGTGAGCAAGCAGTTTGGCTCCTGCATAAATTAGTTTACTCTGGAATCATCCTTCCTGAGCTAAGACAAAAATGTGTGAGCCGGAGGCTAAAAAACTGTGAGCTAGCTCACACCAACTCGGCTTAGAGGGAACATTGGTCTCCAGACCCTACCTGGAGATTGGCAACCCTACCACCCAGCCCAGGCTCCAACATACTAACTCACTGGCCAGTGAGACGGCCTCAGTCCTTGAGCCAACCCAGTCAATTTTTGCTTCCCCCTCCTTTTGCAGTTTTCTTCTGGGCAAAGATTACCTGTGCCTATAGAAAGCTTTCCTTTCCCCTTAAAGGAAAAAAGAAAGGTAGGCATGAATCTGATCTCCATCATCTGAAGATCAGTTGTAATTCTGGGAGATCTCCAGGCCCCACCTGGAGGCTGGCAACCCTAGAAGCTGGATGTGGTGGTATAGTGCCTGGTTGGCCCAGCCTTTGCTTTTTACAGCTATGTGTAGGTTGTAGATGTAGTAGGTTATGAGTAGAGTTGCCATCCTCCAGGTGGTGGCTGGATATCTGCAATTACAACTGATCTCCAGGTGACAGAGATAAGTTCTCCTGGAGAAAATGGCTGCTTTGGAAGGTGGACTCTATGGCATTACACTCCATTGGTCACTCCCCATCCCAAACCCTGCCCCCCTCAAGCTCTACCTAAAAATCTCCAGGCTTTTCCAAACCCGGAGCTGCAACCTTAGTCCTTAGCTATGAATATGAACCTCAGACTCCATGCACTGCATGTGCTCTGTAGTGTGAACTGGAGCTTGCGTTGTCTCTCTGTCCTCCTGCAGATAGGTATCAACACAATCCATTGCCTTAATATTTGCATTCACACACACAGAGGGCCATAACCACGGTGGGGCTAGTGGGTGCTTCATCTCATTTGGAGTATTGATTTGCACCAAGATAGAGGTTAAGATGCTGAGCTGCAGACCAGAAGGTCTGTAGTTTGACAGTTTGAGACCCTAGTGCTGTGTGATGGAGTGAGCTCCCATCTCTGGCCCCAGCTCCTGCTAACTTAGCAGTTTGAAAGCAAGACACTGCAAGTAGGTAAATAGGTACCACTTTGATGGGAAGGTAACAGCGTTCTGTATTCCTCAGCATTTAGTCATGCAGGCCACATAACCAGAGAGAAGTCTTCGGACAGTGCTGGCTCTACGGCTTGGAAATGGAGATGAGCACCGCCCCCTAGAGTCAGATTCGACTAGCTTTCAAGCAAGGGAAACCTTTTAACTTTTGCTAGAACTTTTTTGGGGAAAGGTTTGTGAAATAATTGCTTTCATTTAAAGAATAGGAGACTGTAGAATAGGAAAATTTCTTGTTAAAAAAATATCAGTGATACCTTATGTCTCCCCAAGGTGGTAATTCTCCAAACTCCAATTGCCTGACCTTTCCTGCTGTGCCCACCCAAGATTCCCCCTGTTGCGGCATGGATTTTTGTAGAATAGGAACATTTCTTGTTAAAAAAAATATCAGTGATACCTACTGTCTCCCCAAGGTGGTAATGCTCCAAACTCCACTTGTCTGACCTTTCTTGCTGTGCCCACACAAGATTCCCCCTGTTGCGGCATGGATTTTTTTAGTCATCCTTATGGTGCTGAAATGGGACTAAAAGTCCCACATGTGAGCATGATAGATTCTTTACTTTAGGACTGCATTTGACTAATTTAGTTTTTACAATTTATTGGCAGTCATTATTGTGATTTTAAATTGTGGTCTTTTGATTATAATTTTTATTTTATTTGCACTGGAAGTTGGATTGAGTTTCACAAGGTAGAAAGGCAGCTAATACATTTTCTAAATAAACAAATGAGTAAATAAATAAAAGCTACTGAACTTAATAAATTGGTTTAGTCCAGAGGTTAAGGCATTGAGTTGCAGACTGGAAGGTCGGTAGCTCGGCAGTTTGAGACCCTAGTGCTGCGTGATGGAGTGAGCTCCCATCTATGGCCCCAGCTCCTGCCAACCTAGCAGTCTGAAAGCAAGAAATTGCAAGTAGATAAATAGGTACTGTTTTGGTGGAAAGGTAACAGTGTTCCATGCACCTCGGCGTTTAGTCATGCTGGCCACATGACTATAGAAAAGGCTTTGGACAGCGCCTTTAGTCTGTATCAAGTAAAATGTTTGGATCTAGCATTTAAGTTATGTATTTGATGGGATGTACAGTGAATATGTTTTCTTGAGAAATCTGGAGCGTGCTTTGGGTGTGCTGTGAGGCAGATGGTGTGCGTAAGAAATGCTTGACTTTTCTGTAAGCTTTCTAAGTGCAAATGGAGAGTTATCGGGTTTTGTTCAGTGTTGGGAGAGGATGGATATTGGTGTGGCCTAGCTAACAGGTATATCACATTGCAGGAAGTATTACATGAAACTAATGACTAGAGCCCTGAGCTGGATGGCCAAGGCTAGCCCAGTCTCATCAGATCTGGTTAGTAGTTGGATGGGAGACTACCAAGGAAATCCAGGAATGCTACGCAGAGCCAGACTGGTTGGTGGGAAGGTAACAGTGTTCCATGCACCTTGGCGTTTAGTCATGCCGGCCACATGACCATGGAGAAGGCTTTGGACAGCGCCTTCCGTCCATATCAAGTCCAATGTTTGGATCTAGCATTTAAGTTATGTATTTGATGGAATGTACAGTGAATATGTTTTCTTGAGAAATCTGGAGCGTGCTTTGGGTGTGCTGTGAGGCAGATGGTGTGCGTAAGAAATGCTTGACTTTTCTGTAAGCTTTCTAAGTGCAAATGGAGAGTTATCGGGTTTTGTTCAGTGTTGGGAGAAGATGGATGTTGGTGTGGCCTAGCTAACAGGTATATCACACTGCAGGAAGTATTACATGAAACTAATGACTAGAGCCCTGAGCTGGATGGCCAAGGCTAGCCCAGTCTCATCAGATCTGGTTAGTAGTTGGATGGGAGACTACCAAGGAAATCCAGGAATGCTACGCAGAGCCAGGCAATGGCAAATCCCTTCTGTTTGTCTCTTGCTTAGAAAACCCTACAGGGCTGCCATAAGTTGGCTGCGACTTGACAGCACTTTCCAACACCACCACCACCACCATTGGCCAGATATGAATAAATGGATGTGTCCTGATCAGGGTGCATTCCGTTCTAACATGGAAAGCTCTAATGTAACATAACATGAAGTGTTTAGCAGAATTAGTCTTTTAACTATTTTCCTCCATTGTCTCTTCAGGACTTGATTGCCACGAAGCGGGGGAATAAGGGACTGGATCAACTTCCTTACACAATGAAGATTGACTTTGCCTTCTCTGTCCAAGGAGTTATGCGCTCAACGAGTTCATGGTTACCTCTGCTTTGCTGCCATCGCCATTGCTCCTAAGGGAATTGTTGTTTGGAGACTGTTTGCTGATTCTGCCTCCATTCTCCCCTGAACACAGCAGGTGTCAGCAACCCGTGGCCAAAAACCTCTCCCGAAGAATCTTCATCCTGCTCCTTCTCCTCTTAGGATAAAGGCCTCTGGATCCTACCAGATAGCTGAGATCTTTCCTTGGCAGGGAGAATTTGCAACTTCATCTCCTGTTTTCTCTTGTGGAATTTAACAGCTGTAGTGCTTATTACCAGAGCCTCTTCTGCGAGTGGCTTTCAACCTTTTTTGTCTCCTAAGGAAAAGCGGCTTCTTTCAAACATGGGCTTTATTCTCCACTCTGCCTCTTTCACCCTAAAGGTGAGCTTATTGCTGGGCTCTTTTCTCAGCCTGTGTCTTGGGCTGGAGTTTGTGGGTGTTCCCAATCAGTGGGCGCGTTACCTCCGCTGGGATGCCAGCACCAGGAGTGACCTCAGCTTTCAACTGAAGACCAGTGTTTCAGCTGGATTACTCCTCTACTTCGATGATGGTGGCGTCTGCGACTTTCTCTGTTTGTCCCTGGTGGATGGGCGTATTCAGCTCCGATTCAGTGTGGACTGTGCTGAGGCCACAGTTGTCACAGATAAGCAAGTCAATGACAGCAACCTGCACTTCCTGATGGTCAGTCGCAACCACCTACGGACAGTTCTTGTGCTGGATGGTGAAGCCAAGCCTGCAGAGGTGCGCCCGCAGCGCCAATACATGAATATTGTCAGTGACCTCTTTGTGGGAGGCGTCCCGTCAGACATCCGTTCTGCAGCCTTGACCCTTGACAGTGTCCTGGGTGAGCCACCATTTAAAGGATTTATCTTGGACCTGAAGTATGGCAGTTCAGAACCCCAGCTCCTGGGCCACCAAGGCGTCCGTCTAGACATGGAAGGGCTATGTACAGAGAACCCATGTGAGAATGGTGGGAATTGCTTCCTTCTGGATGGCGAGCCACAGTGTGATTGCTCGGCCACTGGATATGTTGGGAGATTCTGTTCTGAAGGTAAGAGATCACTTTCACTTCTGTCTTCTGGATTTTGCTGCACAACATTCTGTGTTACTTATTGGCTACGTTGTTACCTCCGTTGGTTGTGTTTCAAAAAACGTAACACTCTTCAGTACAACAAACTGAATACTTGTCGCCAGACTATCAAGTTGGACAAGAAACCAAGATAGGAACTAGCAAAACTATTTTCACAGTTTTTGCTATGCGTTCATTGCTTGGTCATTAGCAATTCTACTATATTCCATGTTTTTGGAAAAATTTGGGATTCAGAGTTCTCTGTATGAGTTACTTGAACACCCTCTGAACCTCTTGAAATAATACAAATAAGAGTTGACGGGTTATGAGAGATGCCTTAATACCTCCAGCCAATCACTATTTGATTCCTTTATATGGTCAAGTAAGAATGGAAAGAGTAAGTACAAAGGATGCATAGAGCCTGAGTGCTCAGTAGAAATTCTGCTGCTCACAGCATTTTGAGTTGGATCTAGCTCTGCCCATTGCTCTGGCTAGGTTTAAAGATGATGGAAATTATATTTGCCCATGCTGTGACATGGGTAAAATAGAGCATTGGATTAGACCAGTTACTTCATATGCAGAATGCTCATGCTATGCTGTGGTCAGGTCTTTTGAACAGGAAGACACCAGTGTTGTATCCTGTTTCCTGTAATTCTGTTTGATATTCAAGTCCACTTTCCACTAATTGAGTAATCAAGAGTGGGGAGGGGCCTGTTTGCCATTCGTGCTTCCAAAGTAAGGATATTGCAGGATCTTGTAAAAGGACCAGGGTCACAGTGCCAAGAAAAGCTGTCAAGCTTCACAATAGTAAATCCTGGGTGAGGACTATTCATCACAAGGAGCTCTTTCAATTAGCTCAGTGCATTGGAAACTTATCAATGGAAGGAACAAGTATCAGGAAAATGATGTTATTAGCTATGCACTTGCCCTTATTGCTTGTGGCATTTTAGCTGCTGTTTATTTATGTGAGCAAAAATTCTACTTTGTGAGCTATTGGCATTAAAGTTGTGAGTGAACAGTTTGGCTACTGCATAAATTAGTTTGCTCTGGAACCACCCTTCCTGAGCTAAGACAAATATGTGTGAGCCGGAGGTTAAAAGACTCTGAGCTAGCTCAGACCAACTCAGTTTACAGGGAACATTGCCCACAAGAGGTATTGAGCAAGGTAGAGGAATAAACCATCCACAGCTTTTTTGTTTGGTTGTGCCAATAAGATATCATTTGGGGAGTAGCTCTGATCACCTCTAGTAGATTTGGATCATGATCATTTTATCCTCTTTCTCAAAATGTTTCCATTCTCTTTCCTCCTTGTTTTATGTGCTGTTGTAACAAATAATTTGGTGTGTCAGTTAACACTTTATTCCAGCGTGACTTTCCTTTTCAACAGGATACCAGCATTTCGCCCCCTCTTTGGATCATTAACCTGCTTTATACCATTTGCCAGCCTGTTGATTTCTGAGCTGATTTGTACTCACTTGATCACTGACTTTGGTTGGCTGGCTGATGGGACCTGATCAATAGCTCCAGTTTTAATAGCTAAATGTAGTGTGTACCTTTTTAATAATGAGTTCTCTCGACAGAGTTCAGGCCATTACTTGACTATTGATTGATACCTGTGTCTGCAGATGGCAAAACCACAACAAGCTCATTTATTCAGTGGACAGAGGGAAGATATATAAATAAATACTTAGCAAACCCTGCTGATAGTGAAGTTCCATTTACAGTATCCCAGCTTCATTAATGCAAACTGCAGTTCCAGTTAGTGAACCTCAGTGTGCAAATGTCCTAAGAGATATTTACAGAAATCAAGCAAAGAACATTATAGATATAAACATGCACTGAATATGTTAGGCTGAACTACACATGCCAATTTGTAATGTGTAGTATTGGGGTTTCCCCATTCTGACTTTGATGTTGACTTTGACGAGCCTTTATTGGCATATGTATATGCATACAATAGGAGATCAGGTTAAATATAGACTGGAAAATACAAATCAACATAGGGTAAAATTGGAGCTATGGCACAGGAAAAAACTTTGATGTTGATAGTCAGATGTCAGGAGTGAGCATACTTGAAGCTACCTTATACTGACATTGGTTTGTCAAGGTCAATATTGACTACTCAGGCTGGCAGCATCTCTCCAGGGTCTCAAATAGAGGCCTTTCACATCACCTGCTGACTGATCCTTTTAACTGGAGAGGCTGGGGATTGAACCTGGGACGACAATATGATATCCATCCTGGGGATAACACAAAACTCCTTCCTAAAGAGAATTCTAATACTGCCTCAGGGCACTCCAGCTGCCCTGCTGAGAGCTGAATCTGGCTTGCTTTCCATTAAGGTCCGTGCCCACGCTGCCTTGATTAATTACTGGAGAAAGTTAAAGAATTCTCCTTCTAGGCATCTTTCTAAGCAGTGTTTTATCTGGCTTCAGAAAGACACCTCTTGGGTTGCCAGCTATCACAGGCTTTTCTGCCTGTACCCAATACCGGTTGACCCCCAAGGCTTCCCTCTAAATGGGTTCAAAACTTGGGAGCTGATATTCAATATACATGCCACCTTAGATAGGGGAAGTATTATCAGTTCTAGATTTCCCCCATGGTTTAAACTGCTCAAACGGGATCACACCAGAACTTCCTGTTCATCCAGCATCACCTTCTACACACTTAGAGAAGCCTTTACAGTCCTCAGATTTCAAACAATAACAACAGCCATGTTAGTTGGCCGTTATCAGCATATACCTGTTGCTCAGCGAGTATGTATCTGTGGAGCCCTGGAATTGGAGGATCTCCCTCAGTATGTCCTGTTTTGTAACCTTTACTTGGTTCTCAGGGCCAAGTTCCTTGCAGCCATTTTCGGCAGGCTAGCCTCACATTCAGTGGCAGACAAAATAATCTACCGCTTATCTGATGATCATCCTTATGTCACCTATATAATATCACTGTATGCATTGGTTGCCAAGAAGATTTGTGCAGAACTTTTGCCCTGATGTTCAACATGCTGTATTCTATGTTATGTCCTGGTCCTGACAATTTTAACATAGTTTCTAACCTTGTGTTTTTACTGTAATATTTATTACTTCTTGGGCAGCTATTATTATGGCCTTTGGCTTCATGTAATAAAGTTCTGCCATTTGGGACCTTCTGTATACAAAGCAGATGATCTTCTACTGAGCCACAGCCCCTCCCTGTGGGGGAACTTATTTTCCAAGTGCCTAAGGGCTGGATGTGGGTTGAGACTGTGATACGTGTGTGTGTGTGTGTGTGTGTAGAAGGGCATTCAGCCTTATTCCATGCTGTTTTCCTGATCTGAAATGGCCCTGGGGCTCGTGTTTACCCGCTGGTGGGGTGCTGTGCATGTAGCCCATCAGTACCTATGCATCTAGGGCAAATAGTCATTTTGGGTTGGAAAAACAGTGTAGAGGGGAGGCTGAAGCCCCTTCTCCGCCTTGCACCATGGCTCTGATCCGAATTAGGAGCCTGGGCACTTGGTAAACAATTTCTTCCACTTCTGACATCTGATGGTTGCCATCAAAGTCAGGTTGGGGAATGCCTGACCCTAAATGTTACAAATTGTAAAGTTTAGTTTAATTTTTAGTGACCAGTTGAATACACATTCCAGATTTTGGGGGACTCTCATCAAGATGCCTTTCAGTAGGCCCCACTAGTATTTGCCACCACTCGTGCGGTGGCAGCTGCCCAAATTGCCATCTGAGGGGGAGGTGGGAGAAAGAGGTCAAGAGTATACCTATTAAGTCTAAGGTGCCTTGACACATCGGTCCCACAAACTTCTATTTTTTTTTGTTAAGTATGCAACTCAACAACGTTGTAAGTAACAAGTGAATAAGCTTTATTAAGAATGAGAACTTCCGAAGATCACACAGCACGACGACACACACGACCACACACGACAACAAACAGTGGAGCCTAGCTCCTTTTAAACAATCCCGGGCTGGTGTAGCCACGCCCTCACATAGTTAAGGTCCAATCATAATACAGATATAACATCCAGTAAACATACTTCCCTCCAGCACAGTTCTCTTGCATTTGATTGGTTACAATACTGCTTCAGCCAATGGTATTGTTTCAGATTAGAATCCTGGCTGAGGTTCCAAGCTTAACATGGTTTCTCTATGGTGAAGACACAACATTTTTCATGCCAGTAACTTCAGTAAATTTTTCTAGACAAATCCTGTGAATTGTTTTCTGGTAATGGTGGTAAGACTAACAACAGTTCCCATGGTTTCCTGAGGAGAAGGGAGGAATATTAAACTAAGTCATGGTGTAGATAGGTCCTCTGAATCCAGGTGTTTTGGGATCAGAGAGAAGATTTTTGAGTAACAAGTGATTTCTGCTTGCTGGCTTACATTTTTGCCATAGATATGCCTTCTAACACAACAGCATCAGTTCATCCGTTCAGAGGAAACAAGTGAAATGGGAATAAAAATATAATCTCAGTTGTTTTGTTTATCCTGTCCAATGATTTCAATAAAAACAGAAGTTGTAAAAAATCCTTTTGGTTCTCCCCATCTACCAACCAATAAATCTTCTCCGTTTTCTGGGATTGCTCTGGCACTAGGAGCAGCTCAGGTCTCCACTGGGGTCTGAATTTCACAGAAAGACAAAGTATACATTGAAATTATGCCTTTGTAAATACTTCAAATAAAACAAAGAGAATCAGCTGTCCAGTACATTGGCATGCTCAGCATTACTTTCAACTTTACAAGATCATGAACAGTCAAGGCAAGTTCCAGGTTTTGTGGTGGCCCTCGGCAAGATGCCCTCCATCTCTCCCCTCCTCTAAACATGCTGCCTTATCATGAAAGCACACATGCTCCTGAGAGCACGGCATGACTCTATCATGTTCTGTGAAGCTTTTTAGATATGAGCAAGTATAGGTTCCTCTCCAAGCATAAATACAAGATGGTCCTAAAAACTCCTGGGACAAAGTTCCATTACTTCATGTATACAGATGGAACAAG